AAAAAAAAACAATACACATCATTGAAATATTAATACATTCATCACTCCATTTAGAATCTTAAATAGTTTTTGATATTTCAGGTGATGGTGACAGTAGTGTTACTAAAAAACTCAATGAATTATTACCATATGGGAGTGATTTTAAAATACAAAAGATTGAGTGTAAAAATCATCTCATGAGAAATTACTGTACAAAATTAACCGCGCTTACTAAAAGGACTGATTACTCAATCGTAATACGGAAGTTTATAACTCAAAACATTATCCGTTTTCGTTCTGATATTACCAAGGCTATTGAACATCATAAAAACATGAATGTACCACTCCGCATAAAAACTGATGGTCAGTGAATTTGATGAAAAACTTTATTTTTTTATTATTATAAAAATAGTATTGTTTTTAATATATATTATTTTATTTTTAGAACTTAGAAAAGATATTTCTAATAGTGTCCTTCATAGACTAGGGTATCACAATAAGTGTGCAGCATACTTTTGTTCTGGGCCATAAGTTGGGGAAATTAATTTAGTACCAGAAGCAGAAAAAACCGGAATCATGACTGATATTAGGAACATAGTGCATAGATTGGTTATACATGCCGACAGTTTAATTGAAAGTGTAGATACTAATCCATGTGAGCAGTTTAATGCTATAATAAATAAACATATAGGAGCAAAACGCATTAATTTTACACAGGGGTCGAACTACAAAACTAGGGTAGAAGCAGCTGTTGTAGCATTTAACTCAAAGAATTATATACGAACAATACATAAGAAAATTGTTACAACTAGTCCAGGTAGGAAATACTATTTAATTATAACTCTAGATTGATAAAATAAATGTAATTTTGAATTTTGATACAAATATTATGGCATTATAGGAAAATTTTCTAAACTGCACATTCGCAACATCGAACGCTTTAGAAAAAATACAACAATGAGGCGAAGAAAACTATTCACAGGAGGGATTAAACGATCAAAATCAAAGTCAATGTTTAACGGCCCAGATGTGGATTACGGATTAGCCTTACCGTTAGACGATGTAATGAGTTCTGACGAATTGCAAAAGAAAAAAATGTTGTTTTTAGACAAATTAAAAACAGTTGATAAAAAACAGTTAGAATTTATTACCAGAGAACAGAGTTGTAGTCAAGATTGGTTCCTGGAGCGTAAAAAAAGACTAACTGCATCAAACTTTGGAGATATTTGTAAGATGAGAGCCACTACAAGCTGCAGGAAAAAAGTACACAATATGCTTTATAAGCCGAATACTGTGTGCAAGGAAATGAGCTATGGAATTCAAATGGAATCAAGTGCAAGAAATGAATTTGAAAAATTATCGAAAAAGTCGGTCAAGTCCTGTGGGTTATTTACAGATGATACCTTTCCATATTTAGCTGCAAGTCCGGGTATGTGGTTTATTTTTATTTATTATTTTTAATTAAACTATCTAACTAACTAAAAATATAAAATATTTAGATGGTCTCATTAACGAAAACGCTATCATTGAAATTAAATGTCCGTATGCAGCGAAAGACTCTTTAAGTGCTATTCAAGCAGTTAAAAATAATCAAGTATTTATTTTATTTATCTGAACATAATATTTGTATTGGTATCAGTTACCACGTATTATCTAACCTGATAATTACTTAATACAAAGTTTTACCGGAAAATATTTTATTAGTTGCAGTATTGTACTATCAATGATGATGGTATGATTGTTATTAAAAAAGACCACAGTTATTTTTATCAAGTCATGGGTCAGTTGCGAGTAACTGGTAGAAATTGTTGTTATTTTGTGATACATACAATGCAATGGACCAATATAGAGAAGATTTATTACGAAATTGAATTTTGGAACACTAAAATGGTTGATAAATTAAAAATGTATGCTAAGTTCATAAATTTCACAATTATTATTTATTACTTATTTACTTATTTATTTTTATGTGTACAATTTTTTACAGATTTTACTTAGAATGTTTGCTTCCAGAAATAGTTGATCCACTTTACGGAAAAAGAATGCAAATTGAAGACATCAGAGAACCACCACATATAATAGAGGCACAACATTTGTTAAAACAAAACCAAACAAAAACAAAAAAAAAATTAAAGCATGAAAAAAAATAAAGTTCTTTAATTCATGTCTTACCTATATATTTTTTTTTGCCTGTCATGCACGAAAAAGACGCAACACGATTGTTTTAAAAAATAAAAAAATATTTAGTATTTTAATATATTTTAAACACTCAACCCAAAAATAACATAAATATAATAGGAATTATAATAGGAAAATATTATTATATATAAATAAATACCTAATATAAACAATCAATATATTTTACACATATATTACTTTTTAAAATGATTTATTTATGAATTATGACCAAGCAAGTAATAATAATATTTATTTATACATTTATAATTTAATAAAATATAGATTTCCTAGTCTAAATATTAATGCATACAATAAATGTACAATCTTAGGTTCGCATTACCTACTCTGTTTAGTGTGAGCACAATATGCGAAAGAGATCCGAACAAGCCTATGGACCTGTAATTAGTAATTTATTTGCGCGAACGTATGGATAATTATTGAAAACATTTGCGAACAAATGCAAATTATTTACCTATAGGTATTAATGTATTATATTTAAATAAGTAATAATTCAATAAATTCAAATCAAGCTATGTTATAATACAGTTCTTACGATCTACGATCTTTACGATCGCCGCGTTTAGTACATTAGAAATACTAGGTGAACAATGAACATATTAGGTAAATATTAGCATTGATGTTATGAAAACGACCGTCTGACATTTGTTTGCATTATTTACAATTATACATTTCAAGTTAGTTAATTTTAGGCAGTTAATGTAGACCCAATCTCCAAAGAATACGGATGCTAAAGGTAAAAACATATCTTAGAACATCATTATCGTATCTACGAGTATACATTAAAGGTATTATTATTTATTATTTAAAAAAATGTTTGTTTTTATTTATTATTATATTAAAAAAGTAAGATAATATTGAACAGTTGAACGTAAAATATGTATTTATTTAGGTACTATTAAATTATATTATACTGTATGTATTATATTTGAATGAGTAATAGTGCAATAACTACAAATTAAGCTATGCTATATTACAGTTTTTACAATATATACATTGGTGCATATATTTAGGTAAGCAGTAACTTTAAAAAAAAAATAGTTCGAATGGGTACGCGCGGTTATTGAAAACAATACTGCGGCGTTTACGTGTGTGAATTTTATATTGACGCGATCCGTCATGGTCAAACGATCATCGAATAATAACCGACGCTCCCGAGGGCCGAGACCAGATTGAGCGGTGCGCCGATGCCGCCGACTACGAGTAGTATAGTCGTAGGCGTGGCATACGCGACGCGCATCGCGTGCTTGCGGATCCTGAAAACACTTAAAAGCGCATTCTCTCAGCCGTTGTATACGTTTCGCTTTCGGTGTGGCGTCCTCTTAAGCAAAATAAAAATTGTGGCCCCTTCAGTAGCATAGATAGCCCCCTCCACAAATAAGTGAACAAAACAAATATATAATTATAATTTATTTATATATTTTAACAAACATAGTTATGTTATACATTTTTTATTTCTACAGACTATAGATTTCTTTTACCTACCTATTATGTACAAAATTAAACATTTTTTTTTATATTAACTGTAAGAAGCTATATTTATATACTTATAATAGAAATAATACACACACTGTGTGGCCTATTCGTAGGCAGACAAAAATTACCTCGTCCCTTCAGGACATCTTGATGATTTGGGCCGTGGTTATTTCTCTGAGCTTATTATTACTGTAATTTGTCCAGAGGTTTTGCCATTCATCCATGTACTTGAATTTAATTGAATTTCGAAAGTCTTGGTCAGATATGTGGGGACATACTTCGAAAATGGAGGTAACTGTAGTTTTTTTAGCTTTTAGGTAAGCTGCTGCGTTACCTATTACACCAACGTGTCCCGTGATCTAGGCAAGAGACATACTATTTTCATTAGATTCATTAATTATTCTGCTGATAACTGGTTGCGATGTATTTATGTGTTTGAATAATATTGCTGATTAGATTGATTAACGAATCTGACATTATAAGATATTTCTTATCGTTTTAAACTGAATACTTCGGATGGCTGTGAGTTTCGCTAAGGCTTCTACGGCAAAAATACTGCATAAATGATAGGTTTTTAATTGTATATTAATGTCGTTGGATATTACGGCTAATCCTGTCTTCTGCTCGATTTTCGACGAGTAAGTAGGTATATATTATGTGTATGTGTTCCGAGTACGATTTCAGCAGTTCATAATGTAGACACTGACTTTTATATATGTTTTATCTTTCGTAATTTAGTTGTGGAATGATAGGTTTTGGTCTATTTTATCTTTATTAAATCGACAAAGAGATACATTTAATTCGATGCTTTGAATATTGAATAGTATTATTTGTTGAAGTTTCGTTTTTTTAATAAAATCTTGTTGTCTCTCATATAGTGGCCTGAGATGAGATAAATTTGCTGGATTTAAGTGGTAGGTTTTTTTATGATTTTATTGTACACAGGATTTTCTTGATTTTCTGCTATTTTTATTATATACTTGGTTTCGAGTGGTTTTCTCCTTAATGCAAGGGTGATTCACCAACTATAAAAAGTATGCTTGTGACTGGGCTACTTTTAAATATAAATCCAAAGATAGATGGTTAGAAAAAAATTATTATACTATGTGATCAATGATGATTTTTTTTTTTTAATGAAATAAAAAATGTTTTTAAAATTGAATTGTAATCTTGAAAATATGCACATTTTTATCGGGGATTTTAGGTCATTAGAATAAAAAAATAAAAATTAGTGGAGGCTATTGAGTATTTTTTTATAATTATTTAAAATACAATGCTTCATACAAATAATAATATGCAGTTTATACAGCGGTGGGTTTGACTTATAATTCTCGTTAAACACATAATATTTCCAATATTAATGTATGATCTTGAATGTGGTTGGATTAGCTTCAGTTTTTATTCTCAGTAAATTCTAACACGTTGACATTTGTTTTGAATATGGATAATTCAAAACAGTAAAATTACCTTACAAATGCAGAAAAACGCATTTAAATAGTTTCAATTCGCATTAAGTGTGTTACATAACTATATTATTTACTTAATAGTCTATATATAGTTCATAAAATATATATGGAATTCTTATTATGATTTATTTGCCACTGACTAATTTGTGGTGAGACGGTATTATTGTGAGACACGTTGTTTATAGGACATAAGTACAACCAAGTTTATATAATATATATATGATACATAGGTACTTTCATACATTGCAGTTTTGTTCACTTTGTTTAGAACGAACTAATTATTTAGCGAAAACCAGCGAAAATTTCGAAGCAAACACGCGCACACTACCACCGTTATTATACTGTACGAAATAAGTTAGTCGTGTACTGCAGTTAACGAGCGACGTAGTGATAAAACGAAAAACAAAATTAATTGCATCTGTACAAAATAGGGTTTAAAAATATGACCTCTGCAGAGCTGGTAATTACCTACGGGTATATTAATAGCAGTAGGTCGTCGTGTTAAACTTATCGTATGAAAAGCAATGTTTCCTCTTTCGCGTATAATACAATAAAATATATTATGCACTTTATTATGCACTTTAAAATGAGTTATTGAACGCCGCAGACAGATTGTAACCTTTAAACATAATGCCTCGTATGCACATACATACACATGCAAATTCTTGTACTTTTGAAAGAAAACACGAACACAACAATCGATTTATTATTATATATAATTGTAACATTATCAATTTTTTATTTACCATTTATTTGAAATCCACCAGTATTCGATTAAAATGTGCTGGATTTTCAAAATCCTATACCACCATCTAGCTATATGCTGTACATTATTGTTTAACGAGGGGCATTAAAAAAACAGTTTACTGAAATTCATCTTTCACCATGTCGTTTGAGATTTACAGAGCCGTGAAATCGATAACAACAATTGATGGCAAGTTAGTCAAAATCATAATATGGAATTAATCCAATCCGAACTTTTCCGTTTTTATTTACATGTGCTCTCAATTTCTTACACAAAACACCTTTAAATCAATTACAATCAATAGTGTTTTGTATTCACAATATATTATATCATAATAGCGTAAGTTATATATAATTGAAAATCGAATTTTTGTTTTCAAATTTTATCTTTCGTTTATCGAACGTGGTGTATAGTCGACGAGTTATTATTATTACATGTCACATCCCACCTATGTATAAGTATAACATGGTGTATACAGGTAACGAACAAAATACCGGATAGACAAAACACTGAACAAACAAAACTCTGTACGAGTCCGGTAAATAATGTCTAAATAAAAATGACAACGTGATTATTATCGTAAAAACCGTCAATAATGTGTCTAACATATACAATGTAGAATATTTGAGTCAGCTGTATACAGTGACGGCATGAACTTTTTTTGTCTAGACTCACATATTTATTTTTATACCACGCACAAAAAATCCATCTGTATTAGTAATATATGTTTTAAGTTATATTTTTTTTATTGTATATATTTTATACACAAAGAAATGTATTGCTAAAAACAGCAGAAATAATATCTAGGGTAGAGCAGTGTTAATCAAATTTCCCTGGAAAACTCAAAATTTGACTTTTCTTTCATCATTTATTCAATGTGATTTCAAATGCATATTGAGAAAAAAAAATTACTAAAGGTCAATATGAGGTCACATATGAACTGTAACTGCATAAATATCGACGAAAATACATCTCGAATGTAGGGGAAGCCAAATATTTGTACAATACCTAAATGCCATTGATTGTATATACTAATCAATTAATATTATACCTACAAGGCTACAGCAACATGCATATTACAATATATACACAGGGTGCACCTATTTGGCCATTTTTTTTTCTTCTGAATTTTAAACTTATTTTATGAGATATTTGAAGAAAATATAATATATAATTTCAAACAATTACATTTTCCTTTTAAGTAATCAAAATTGATTTTTTTTTTTAATCGCATTTGAATCGTTTAAAATCCCAACCTGGAATTGCGGCCCAAAATCTAAATTCCTCGAATAGTTTGCTTCTTATTACTAAAACCATCTTATCTGGAGACAAGGACCATTTTTTTCAAAACTTGAGGTTTCGTTGTTTTTCTATATTTTTGT